CTTCTCGGTCTATTCCCTAAAGACCTAAAAAGAGCATGCTACAGGGACACTGCTACATCGATGTTCATAGCAGCACAATTCACAATAGCAAGACTGTGGAACCAACCTAGATGCCCTTCAATAGATGAATGGATAAAAAAAATGTGGCATTTATACACAATGGAGTATTACTCTGCATTAAAAAATGACAAAATCATAGAATTTACAGGGAAATGGATGGCATTAGAGCAGATTATGCTAAGTGAAGCTAGCCAATCCCTAAAAAACAAATGCCAAATGTCTTCTTTGATATAAGGAGAGTAACTAAGAACAGAGTAGGGTCGAAGAGCATGAGAAGAAGATTAATATTAAACAGGGATGAGAGGTGGGAGGGAAAGGGAGAGAGAAGGGAAATTGCATGGAAATGGAAGGAGACCCTCAGAGTTATACAAAAGTACATACAAGAGGAAGTGAGGGGAAAGGGAAAAATAATACAAGGGGGACAAATGAATGTCAGTATAGGGGGCAGAGAGAGAGGAGGGGAGGGGAGGGGGGATAGTAGAGGATAGGAAAGGCAGCAGAACACAACAGACACTAGTATGGCAATATGTAAATCAATGGATGTGTAACTGATGTAATTCTGCAATCTGTATATGGGGTAAAAATGGGAGCTCATAACCCACTTGAATCAAAGTGTGAAATATGATATATCAAGAACTATGTAATGTTTTGAACAGCCAACAATAAAAAATTAAAAAAAAATAAAAAAAAAAAGAAATTGTTGTTCTGGGTAATTAGCATATCCATCACCTTAAGCATTTATCATAAAAAAAGAAAGAGATCCTTGTTCTGATCCCTTTTACTATATTAGCTTTCTCTGTATTTAAGTTTTATGTGGGTGAAATTATACAGTATAGCTACTTAAGTATTTGGCTTCTTTTAGTGATCATAATGTGTTTGAGATTCCTGCATGTTGTTAACTGTATCAGAAGTTTGTTCCACTTTAGAGCTAAGTGTTATTTCTTGTATGAATATGGCACAATTTGGAATCTGTTCTCTTGTTGATGAACATTTGCATTGTTTCCAATGTGTTGGCTCCTATGAATGAATCTGATGTGAACATTTTTCTGCAAGTCTTTTTGTTAACATATGCGTTTATTTCACTTGAATAAATATCTAGGGGTGAAGTTTCTGGGTCATAGATGAATATTTAACTGTACAAGAGACTGTTTTCCAAAGCAATCATACCATTGTAGATTTTCATGAGCATTTTATAAAGACATCCAATTGCTTCAGATTCTCATGCTTGTTTTGTGGTGTTAGCCTTTGTAAGTACTCTGGTGGTTGAGCAGTGGTATAGCACAGTGATTTTAGTTGTTACCCACCTCATGCCTGATGACTGTGAAGTCGTATTTTGTGCTTACTACTACTGCATATCTTATTTAGTGAAATATCTGTTCAAATCATTTGCTTGTTTTGCTGATTAGGTTGTTTGATCTTTGGTAGGAATTTTTAAAAATATATTCTGGATTGGAGTTCTTATTGGATGTGTGTATTTTGAATATTTTCTCCCAGGCTGTAGTTTTCTATTTTATTTTCTTTACAGTATCCTTGAATGCTTAGTTGATTTTAATTTTATTGAAGCCTAATTTGGCACCTTTTTTATGGTGATTGCTAAATGAATCTTATATAAGAAATTTTTGTCTCCCTCCATATTGCAAGATTTTCTCCTATGTTTTCTTCTAGAAGTTTCCTAGTTTGTACTTTTGTAGTTAGGACTATGGCCTTTGACTCCTTAGCCTTAAAAGACATTTCTGCTGGGGCAGTATCACCTAATAAACTGTTCAAACTGGGAAGTCCTCTTGGGATGGACACAGTTAAATGAGTGTCTCACCTGATATATCTCTATTTTTTCAGTGTTTAATTTTTTTTCCCAGTTTCTGCCCACTTTTGTTTTTTTTCCTAGTGTTCTCAAAAGGTTTTTTCTCATATGTTGTTCTGTGCTTCTTGAATTAGTATCTATTCTCCTAAGTTGGATTCGGTTGTTATACACTTATTTTTCTTAACATGTAAATTTGTTGAGAGCCAAGGGTATGTTTTATTAATCTTTATTCTATTCCATTGTCTAATCCAGAGCAATCCATTTTAAGTAGTAACTACTACTTAGCAAATGTTGAATTGCATTATTATTTTTATGAAGACTGACTTTGAGACAGGACTTCAAGTCTGCTACTCATAAGCCCATTTTTATTTTGAGTATACTACCCTGAATATGAGCCCAAGGGGGATTTTTTTTTTTTTTGAGATAAGTTTGGAGTACTGTATTCATTTTAGAATTTTTACTCTTTAAAGATTTTTATTTTAAAATATTTTTCATTTTTATGTTAATATTTTAATATTAATTTTAATTTATTGTCATGTTATCTATAAGACTGCTTAAAGTGGCTGCCTGAAATGATTGGATTTTCAGTCAAGATTGATACACAAAGATATTTGTTTTTTGTGTTAATTTTATACCTGAAGCAAACCTACTTTTCTATATTAATAAAGTAGAGATATTTCTTATATGTAATACTTGCAGTTTCTAAATTCTGTGCAATATGTGGTAGACAGTAGTATCTTTGAATAATTTTATTTTAAAAGAAGACCCTTTATTTTTTAATTTTTAAAATTTGTTTTTTTAGCTATCCATGACAATAGAATGTACTTTGACATATTATACATACATGGAGTATAACTTTCCATTCTTGTGGTTGTACGAGATGTGAAATTACCCTGGTTGTGTATTCATATATGATTACAGAAAAGTAATGTCTGATTCATTCTACTGAAAAGAATACCCCTTAGAACTATTTAAAATTATACTTCTCAAGATCAATCTAATATACAAAGAATTTGTCCCGTAATTTCAAAATTGTATTAAAAGAATTTTTGGAGGGGGGGGGGGTCACACAATTTGCCTCTGTTGTCAAGTATTTTTGGAAAAGTGCCCATAGGGTCTTAATAAATTAACCCATTTTTAAGTGTAATTATTATGGTCAATAATAGTATAGTAGTAATCACACATTGTTTTCATAACATAGGGTGTACTTGAATGCAAAGAGTTATTATAGTTTCTTTAAATGGCATTTTTAGTTTGTGTATAAATCTTGTACGTATTGCAGATCTCATTGATCATCATGCTATATTGATTTCATAGGTTAGGTTACTTGTACCATAATCAGCCATCTTTTTGAATTTGCCTCTTTGATTACTTGAAAGAAGTAAATTGTTAAATAAGGCTAAGTAACTTCCTTTGTTTCTTTCTTCCTTAGAATCAAGTTTCTTACTGGGAAATGCCCAGATTGTGGATTGGCCTGTAGTTTACAGTAATGACGGTTTTTGTAAACTCTCTGGGTATCATCGAGCTGACGTCATGCAGAAAAGCAGCACTTGCAGGTATGTCATGGAAAAAGTTAGGAATCTTTTCTAAAATTGAACACTCTTCTGAAAGTAACTAAAAGCTTTCTCCTTACTTGGACTCACATATACAATCTATAGGGTAAAATTTATATTAGTAAGCTAAGAATACTGGATTGTCAATGGAAATATGTAGTTTAAAGAGCCATTGTTAACTTTTGCAAAGAGAGAGATTTTTGCATATCTGTGAATTAATTAATTCATTCAACAAATACTTTTTGATCAGATGCTGAGGGTTCAGAGGAGCATCCCATGTCAGAGAACCACTGAAGGATTCAGCACCTGTGGAGGGATTAACAGTGTTTTAAAGAAAATCAAGATCAGCGGAGTTGAGGGAAAGGAAGAGGGAAGGGACGAGGGCAGAGCAAGGGGAAGTGCTGGGGACTGAATTAGAGCAAATGACATTCTTTGCTTTTATAATCATGTCATAATGAATCCTAATGTTATATGTAACTAAAAACAACCAATAAAGTAAAAAGAAAAAAAATAAACAAGCCCCATTCAAGGAGAACACGGTCCATGAGTATTTAAAGGACATGAAAATGAAGTGCTTATATCTTGTGTCAATCACATGTGCTTTGTAATGTTGGCATGTTGTACTGTTGCTATTTTGTCTTATGTAAAACAGAATTCTGACATTTATATTACTTTTGGCAATTTAAAAAATATACATACGCCATTTCTGCAAGTTTAAAGAGAGTATTATGATAAAAGGAGACCAGGAAAAAGAAAACTGTATATAAGAAGCAATTTAGAATCTAAAACTTTTCCACAACAATTCAGTAAGGCCAGATGGGGTGTTTTTTTTCCCTTGATTTAATTTTTCTTTTAAGCTCTCAATTAAGCTCTGAAATCAAACTATTTTAGAACTGTGAAGGATCTAAAAAAATTTTTTTTAGTTTGATCCTGTTTTTCAGATGAGAAAACTGAGGTTGAGCTATGTTAAGCAAAACAGTGATTTATCTTTTATCTTCACATTTATACTGAGAAACTATATACATATATCTACATTTACACTATATGTTCATTCTGAATCTAAAATGAAGCCAGGGATTTCATATTATACTGGTGAATCTAAGCCTGACTAAACCTTAAAGAGTTTTTGCAAAACATAGATTCCCCTACCTCTTAAATCTATTGAATCAGAATCACCAAAAGCAGGTGGATAGGGTCAATAGTTAGTTTATCTTGATGTTTATCTAGGTTTGAGAAGTAGTCTGATCAAGCCTCCTCTTCCTTCCTGTATCTTCGCCTAGCTGTCCTCCCTGCTATAGTCATTCCTACATGCAGTCTTTACTTGCAGGTATGCAGTTGGTAAACAGGAGTGATGAAAAGTGTGGCCTTTGGTTGAGAAACTCCTTTGGTGGCACTGATTTCTTTGGGACTTTTTATCCATAGGGCAGGCATTGCCTTTTGTCATTAGGGGTGTGTCGTATGTTCTGGGAGATTGCAGGTCTGCATCATGCACCACCCTTTCCTGTATCCCCTGCAGTTTTTAAGTTAAGGAAAGGTTAAATTTGGTGGTTGACCTTACCCTGTGCAATAGGCATGATAGAAAGTCCCAGGGAACATTGATGTTCCCACACCTGCTGACATCTCATTTTCATACCAAGTCTGTCTCAGATGCCATCTTGTACCTGAAGGTATTTATGATTCCCCCAACAACTGGTGTCTCTCTTTTCTTTGATTCCTCCTAGTTCTTTGTGTGTATTTCTATTGACATCACTCTTTAGTCCTTAACTTATCCCTTGGGTTTGAATTTTTATTGGTTTTGTTGTAATTTTTGGGCAAGGATTGCTGTTCATTTCTGGACATACCATGAAATCCTGCTCCCATTCCTTCTGTATCCCATGTATTTGCCCAATTCCCAAAGGGGTTCACTTTTGTAAGTGTAATTTTTCCTACAAAAGGATTCCTTAAAAAAGGCTGGCATGTTATATTAACATATTTTCACCTCTAAAAGAGCTATTTAACCCTTCCTTTCGCCACTACCAGATTAAGTGCCTTGAAATCAGGAACTGGTCTTATTCACTTTGTATGCACTATAGAACACAGGACGGTGTATTGTGTCATTTTTGTTGAATTAGATTGGCTTGTTTTGCAATAAACCCCAGCTCAGCTCTTCCGTGCTTCTGTAAAGCATGCTTCCATTTCCTGCATTTCATCCAGGACATCCGAGCTGAGTGAGGGAGAGAGTGTTGGACTATGCTGGATTTTTTTCACTGTGAAAAAGAGTGTGCAAGCCTTCCCCGAAGTCTTCACCTATCAGAGTTGTATTTTCAAAATGATCATATTCCGAACATGAACTGTTTTTACTTGCTTGCACAAAATGCCAAGTGTGTTTTGCTAATCTGAAAATTGCAGCCAGTTTAAGGTCCACACAGAGCGATGAAGTCTAGCATCTGACAAATGAGCAAATGATATCTGAGCCCTGGCAGGTTTTCTTGGAAGCATGATTTATTTTAATGCGTTCCCATTTTAAACTTCCTCATCCCCCTTTTAAAATTAAACTACACCCATTTTATGTTTACTGCAGCATTATTTAGAAGAGTGAAGACCTAGAAATAATCAAAATGTCTAGTTGTGGGAGATTTGTTAAAACACATTATGGCAAAGTCCTACTTTCTAAACCATGTGTTGGAAGGATAATAATGCTAGAAAAAGCTAAAAACATATTATAAAAAAAAGAGAGAGAGAAACTTCAAAACCAAAAAAACCCCAGAAAACCACCTCCAAAATGTTTATAAAACTGTGTCTGTGTCACAGTTCTGAGGTTTTGTTTAACATACAGCTTTTCCCCCCATTTCTTAAATGAATCTATAAAGCCCTTGAACATGAGACTTAAAAAAACAGAAAGGAAAGAAGAAAATTATATCCATATTTAGAGACACAGGGTTAATAATGACAAATTATAGTCTTTTGGAATCACTGAATTTCTACTGAATATGGAGATAAATCATTTGACAGAGAAAATAGCCTTGTGAATAATTTAGAGACCTTCACTGATTTTAATAATGACAAATTTTAGATGAACTCAAGATTATAAGAAGCTCCCAATCAGGAAAACTTGGAATAGAACCACCATTTGACCCAGCTATCCCTCTCCTCGGTCTACACCCAGAGGACTTAAAAACAGCATACTACAGGGACACAGCCACATCAGTATTTATAGCAGCACAATTCACAATAGCCGAACAGTGGAACCAACCTAGATGCCCTTCAATAGATGAATGGATAAAAAAATGTGACATATATACACAATGGAATATTACTCAGGAATAAAAGAGAATAAAATCATGGCATATGCAGGTAAATGGATGGATTTGGAGAAGATAATGCTAAGTGAAGTTAGCCAATCCCCAAAAAACAAATACCGAAGGTTTTCTCTGATATAAGGAGGCTGATTCACAGTGAGGTAGGGAGGGGGGAGCATGGGAGGAATAGAGGAACTCTAGATAGGGCAGAGAGGTGGGAGGGGGCATGGGGTTAGCAATGATGGTGGAATGTGATGGATATCATTATCCAAAGTACATGTATGAAGACATGAATTGGTGTGAATATACTTTATATGCAAACAGAGATATGAAAAATTGTGTTAAAAAATCTCAAACCTGTAAGATTATCAAGCTTTTTTCTAAACAGAATTAATTATAGAGATGACTGAAATGATTAAAAAAAAAAGAAGAAGCTACCAATCAGTGAGCTCCAGTTCATGTGGAAAAATGTGGCTGGTGACACTGTATATCTGAAAAAAAAATTAAAAAAGAATCATTTTTTAATAATATTCAAATGTGAATTGTTTTATGGGGAAATTTTTTAAAAACACCAGTTTGTGTTTTTACAATGTCAAGAGGCTAAGATTTATTTCTTTTGTTTTCTTATCTTTTTCTTCTTTGTTTTTTCCAATTTCTCCTCTATCAGACAGAATCAAATTGAACATTCTTCTCAATTTGTTAGAATATTATCAATATGCTGTCTTCATTTCTTTTTCAAAAATTCCCCTTCCGTAGCTGCTCATTTTAGTGTGTTTACTGGATGTCTTCCTAGTCCATCTTCCATTTACTTATTAAATATGTGTGTTCTTGAAATGCTGCTGTTTTCCACGTGCTCATCTACATGACCCCCATCATCTCTGCTATGCAGAAATATTTATGTTTTCTTTTTCCATTTAACGTTATGTTTTTTGAGATTTCTTTATGTTCCTGTATCACAGCCTGTTTTATTATATATGAGTGTTGCCTGGAGCTCTGGTATCTTTATGGCCTTTCTTTGATTTATCCATCCTACTGGTCATGCAATCCAACTTCTGACTCTTTGCTACCCATGACAACATGGAGATAAACATCCTATATACATCTTTTTGTGGCTTATGTGAGAATTTTTTTTCTTTTGTCTGCATGCCCAGAAATGGGATTGATGGATAGTAGACCAGAGGCAGAATTTTAAAGTCAGGTGCTGGGCTATTGCTCTCACCAGTATGAGTGAGCATGCTGATTTTCCCACATCCTCACTATGCTATTATAGTATCTAAATTTCAATTAAAAAATCTGATGTATGCTAGCTACTGTCTCATTTTTGTTTTAGTTAAAATTTAAAAAATTCTATGACTCATCAGAATGCCTAGGATTTTCAAATCTATTCCATTTTGTCATCTAAGAATTGCATTTCCGAGCCTTGAACTGTTTTGCTGTTTATTGGAGAACACAAGAAGTATTGCAAGTTTAAAGGAGAGTATAGGTTTTGAGGGAATGGCATTTCAAAGTATAAGATCCTATCTGATGACCCTTAAGAAACTCTGACATGCAAGACGTATTGTGATAGGTTAGGTTAGGTAAGATCCACGTTAGCCTTTAACCTGTCAGTACCTTGACACTTAAAAAACCCTTGCTGCCTTGTTTTTTGTTTTTGGATAGAAGGGTGAGAAGAGCAATCTTGTGTGTAGGAAGGGAGGATTAAGGAGTAGTTAGATGCTTTTAAAT